GTAAAAACAACGTAAGCTCTCCTTAGAGTAATGCGTCTCTGTGCTTTAAAGTGCTATCAGCGCTGAGGAGGGGAAGCATTCTCAGGGATTAACTGCTAAGGTGCTACAAAAATAGCTGTACCAAATATACAATTATTTTTTTAGGCATGCAGACATATATTTAAACTACTGTATTTTTTATGATTTTTGCAAACAAAACTTGTGAGAAAAAATGCCTACTTTTAAATAGAATGTAAGCATTGTTTTTATTTTGCTTCAAAAAAAAGACATGATCTTTATGAGTCCCTTCCAACTAGACATATTCTATATTCTATGAGATTTTTAATTTCACCTGTAGGTTTTTAAATAAACAACGTAATTTTCAACTGTAATCTTGACTGATAAGCAAACAGGTTGTTGAGCAAGTGAATGAAAACACAAAACCCAAAGGAAAACTGTGTGTGAAAGGTATGAGATGTAGTATTAGTAACAACATCACCTGACTGCATAACTCTCAACTTGTGTCACATGAGGAAAAATGTAGAATGTTTCCTTTTATTGTCTTTAAAAAAAAAAGAAGAAAATCCTGCTTCTCTACATTTACAAATATACACACTTGCACACACACACACGCACACACACATATACAGGAACCCCTGTAATATTTGGGGTTGTTCTTAAGGCTCCTACTTTTGCGTCAGCTCAGAAATTTTTTTGTTTTCCCTAATCATTAATAAGAACAGTAACACTTATCTCTTAAAATTCCTTTTGAGTACACGATCCCTCTTTCACACCTTCATGCACACAAATACATGCACAGCGTGTAAGACGGAAGAAGAGACAAGAAAAGAATTAAGTTGCTTTACTAAGCTGAATTTCCAGTTCATCTATCTATAGTAACAGTGGGGCATAAGCTAAATGGCATTATGCAGGTTTATGCAAATTGTTTAGGATGAAAGGGGAGCACAGGTGACGAGAAAACAAGTATAGCATTGAAGGCCACCAGAAATCTGTCTTAATGTTGAGCCATGGTCTGACTAAAGGAATAGTAAACACAACACAACATAAAGTTGTCTTTTTACTTTTAACGCCCAGCAGTTGTTACCTTAAAGAGGAGGGTAGCTCCATCTTGAGGGTTTAAACTCAAAATAGATCCAGTAACGCATGTGCTGTTAATTTGACCTAATTAGTTGTTGCTAGTTGCAGGACTTACATGAAGAATCTCATTATATAGATTAGATATAAAATAGAGGGAATCTTGGCCCTCAGTGGAGATCAAGTGGAACAGCAGTTTAATATCTGATACATGCTCTTTCTGGGTACTCTGGTCTTTGTAAGGGGGTGTTAGAGGAGGTGAATCTCTACTAAGTGTCTTCTGCGACTTAGCCTTCTGTAACAAGCTTATCTTTCTGTTTGAAAAGCATCATTAAGATTTTTATTTAAAATTCCACTGGTTTTTGGGATTGTTTCCTTGGGCTTTTTATAAGCCCAGAGAAGCAAAGGACTGTATCTGTATTCACTTCAGTGATGAAGTGCAATTACTAATTGGCAGGGAACACACTGGTTGTCTGTAGTATGCTATGTCTTAAAACTATTGTTAGCTTCACAGTTATCATCAGAAAACACTAGAATCAGTTTAAAAAGGGCAATTTTTTCCTCCAGTGGGAACTGACTACAAATATATTACTTCTTGTTGTTGTTGTTAAATTCATATTGTCAGTGTACTTTTCACTCTTTGACAGGAGGCTCTGCAAATGAAAATATGCAGGCTTTTAGAACACTTACTCAAGAAAAACTCCCAAATGAAATCAACGTGAAGTTCTGCCCAAATCAGAAGTCCAGAAGGGAGCCTCAGGTCTGGCACTTGAAGAAGCTATTTACAGAACTGCTAATGAGTGCACTGTGATGGAAAGTCATAGCAGAGCACGTCCTGAATATTACCAAGATTGAAAACTTGACACAACGAAAACATATATGGGATAAAAAAAAATCTTAAGCAACTGATAACCTTCATTTAAAACAAAACAAAACAAAAAAAGAGCTGTTTACTAAACTTTCAGTTCATAAATAATAATACCATGCTTTAGCATAACTGATCCAAGAATATGTGTGCTATATAACTTAGAGATGAGCAAAATAGGAGGAGACCAGATCTGGTGAATATGAATTACTATTTAATGTATATTTTTTAAAAATGGATGTATCAGAAATATGGTTAGGAGTGAACTGTGGAATTTGGCTATAATTTGTCTTTATTTTTGCTTACATCTTGGCTTTTCCTTTTTGAGGGATTCAAGGGATTACACTAAGCAAAAAGCTTGTCCTTACACACACTCTTAAATACATCTAAATGACATTTCATTAGGCAAACAAGAACACTATAGGCTCTGAACAGAGCCATGCTCTTACCTTAGGAAATGGCAGTATGAATATAAAGAGGAACAGAAACCTTCCCTGGGAAATAAGCATGGTTATAATGTCAGGGCTAATATAGCTGCAGTGAATATCAAAACTTCCCTTGATTTCATGGAACAGGATCAGAGCTGTGTAATGTTGTCAAATATTGCCAGCGCCTTGATGCCAGGCATTTGTAGAACTCCTAAAATGAGAATTGAATGCTTGACATGGAAGCAAGGAGAATTAAAAACATTTTCTTCCAAGTGGTCTCAATTTTACTGAGTACATTTTTACAGCTGAGGGATTTTTAAGAATGCCTTGGTCAATCAGATCACCTGCATAACAGAAATTGCTACCAAATCTGCTAACTGGTTTGGGAAATCTTCATTGTTCTGACGCATGGACAAGTACTGAGATATTGGGGGAGAAGGGTTAGGTTTGTTTTCTTTTCTTTGTTTTTCTGAAAGGATTTGCAAAAGGAAACTTGTGGGAACTCGAAAATATTTGTATTTTGCCTGAGAACTGATCCAGCTTTATATAAATGTTTTTTGTGAGCTATCGACTGTGGAGTTGGCTCAGAAAAAGTCTGTTAACCAAGCTGGCCAGGAAAGATAAAATAATAGCTTTACTGAAGCAAACAATCAAACACAACTGCTCGGGCTATATCCTGGCCTTGGACGGGAATGTGATTCTGAAGATACCAATGTATTGAAAGATCTGCCTTACTGAAAGGAAAGAAGAGAAAAGGTTGTCAGCTGCTGCAGGCTACCATGTGGTATTTCTAGTCTCCAGACTGCAGTGCAAAGATCCCAAGGGAGCCCTGAACAAGCTGTCTCCAGACCTGGTTACTGCACAACCATGTAAACACAGTATGAAGCCTGAGCTGGTATGCTCTGACACAAGCGCAAGGCTGTGTAACGTGCAGCTACCTGGGTTTCAGTAACTGACCTGGTGCCTCTGCATGGAGTTGCATTGCACCGTGAGGGTGTACCAGAACATTCATAGCCAACTGGGAGTAGCTGCATCATACCCTCTTGCACACTATTCTGCATTGAAAAAGACTAGGCTCTAACTTACACATCTAAAATGAAACAACAAAAGTAGATGGTGCGAGTGCTGTGTATGTTTTGCCAGTGGTTTGTGGTTTCTTGTTTTGCTGTTGGGTTTTTTAATGAATATATATCACTGTTGTATACCCCTTGGCAAAGTATGCAGCAAACTGTCTTGAAGAAGCTTTGAAACCTTTCCTGTGTCATTTCCATGCTGTTACCATCCACAGGCTCATGAAGGAAAAATCCTGACATTTCCCTGAGGTAACAGGGAGGATGCAGTGGGGAGTGGTGGGGCAGAAGCACGGCTAGATGGGGTGTGGTATTTGGGGAAGCTCCTGAGAACTGTGGCTTACTAGAGACCATAACAGAAACAGTCACTGAATTCCTCATAAAAATGCACCAACCCCCTTTCCTGGAATTTTGCCTATATAATAGTCTTTAGATGGCTCTAATTTTAGGTGAAAAAAAGATTAATCAGAGTTGATGCAGTACTGATGAAGGAAATGAATGACTTGTGAAAAGCTGGAAGGATCCAGCTGACCTGCTATAAATCCATGCTTTGCTGAAAAGCATGTTGCTTGCTCACTGGAGAGATTCATTAGTATTAATATAGAAGTTCAGTAGGTCACAGAAGTCTTATGCTCTCCTGGAAGGCTTAGAGTAGAAGAGAGAGGTAAAGGATTCAAATGCTCTTAATGTCTGTACTCTCTGCTCAGCAGAGGACTGGAGAAAACCCATCCCCATTCTCTGCTGGCAAATTAGCCACTTTAACCATATTATTTTTCGGTCAAATCTCCTAATTGCTTCAGCAGCAGTCTTGTCTGACAAGTGACTTGAGGTCAAGGCCTTAATGTAATTTTCTTCTCATCTGATTTTTTTTTTCCCCCAATAGATTACACAATTAAATAGACTTCTATACAGATAGAATTGTGATTAAAATAATTTGAGTGCAAAACCACTGTATGGTCCAAAGGAAACTGAGTGAGCGAAAGTGCTGTTAGACCTGAGCAGAAGCTAAGGCACAGGTTTGTCATTGAGTGATTAGTGTTATAACCTAAATTTACCCTT